TGGACTATGAGTAACCTTTTAAAAAGTTGACTCATGGCTCACTGTAGATCTTATTTCTACTAAAGATTTTTATAATACTAACTTTTTCCAGGTAAAACTGGTGTGCATTCAGGCTTTTTTTTTTTAATGTTTTGTTGGTTTTCTCATATAGCTGATGAGTAGTCCTCAATGGAATACAAAGTCCCTTGCTTGCAAATAAGACAATTACTTGAAAGACAAAAGGTTATATTTAGATTGCAGGCTGAAGACTAGTTTGAGTACACACAATAGCTTTAAGTATTGGTTTGGGAGCTAAATGAGTCTGTCAGCAACACTGCCCTTTATTTGAGTTAATTTAACCAGCAGAGCTGAGGCCACTTCAGCTCAATCCCTACAGGGAGAACTTTGCTGAGACACTCAGGTACTTGGTGAGTTCAGCCCACAGGAGAGATTTATCATACAGATGTCAGAACTGGGATAAAAGTGATGGCTTCTTAATGATTCTAAAACACACAATGCTCTATCCACTTCTTGAATTCAAAAGTAAAACTGGTTCTAAATTTAACTGTATTTAGGGCAATTTAATTAAGATTCTTATCTTGTTCCTAATTAAGAAGTCCATTAATTTTCTATTTGAGAATGAACCATTCTAAAATATCAATGAAAAAATACAATGGGGAGGGTAATTTAAATAATGTTTTAAATAAATAATACATTGGGAGGGTTTCCTGCTGTCTTTTTCCCAATTTTGCTCTTTTAATAATGATTTGAGAAAATATTTTCAGCTTTTTCTATTGAGAAAAATACTGGTGCACAAAGACTAAATGTGACCTAATAAACTATCTCAATAAGCTGCCACTGTTTTTCCACATTTTCTTTTCTCATATTTTATTTTTTTTTTTTTTTACCTACAGAATAAACTGTTGGAATGGTTGGTAACTTCATGTCTTCTGAAGATGAAATACTGGTTTATTACACAATTCAACAATATGGAAATTCAATGCCTGGTAATATTTACATCATTAATGACAGAACAGAACTGATGACAAGGTAGGTGGTTAATTCATTAAGAACAAATGTCAACTGAATTTCATTGTAGGCTTCAAGGTTTTTGCCTGTGTCCCATTCTGACCTCAGAAGTCCTGTAAAACATTATTTCTATAATCCCACTTTGTAAATAACAGTAACAAATGCTGTCTCATTTGATTCCAGTGTGGAGTTAAGCAACTTGATGCTATAGTTGAACAGAAATGTATTGTCTACTGCTTTTAGCCAGAGTGCAAAGAGAATCTATTGACAAACACCCTTGAGTACAACTGAGTTTCAGCTCAGTAAAATTAGGAACAAGGCTTCTTTCAAATAATTTTCCTTAGGAAGTTCTGTATCTATTATTCTCACCATATTAATTTTGCCTATTTTTTATCAGTATTAATTTGCTATTGTGAACCTTTTCAAAGTACAAACATTCTTTAGTCAAGCCAGCCTTCCATTAACAGAAGGGGGAAAAAACCCAAACGAGTGAGATCAATCAATAATTTAATTACTGTTGCCATTTTATCAGCTGAGATACCAAACTACAGTAGTTTCAGCATTTTAAAAATCTATTGTATTGATAGTCAAAAGGAAGAAAGCAATAAATCTGCATTTTTAAGTGGGATAGTAGAGTTCAGCTATTATTGATGATTCCTTAAGAATCACTCTTGTTGACTTATGTCATTGCAAGAGCTTCTTTTAATATTTATTTTGGAAGCATAATAAATACAGCCAAAGATAGATTTTTTCTCTTACACAGTAGGCAATTATTAGACACTACATGCAAGTCTAAAACAAACAGGAAAGCAGACACAGAACAGTGATCAAGAGTATAGAAGAAGGAAGAGATGCACTATGATACAAACAGGTAATACAACCAAGGTTAATACTAACAAAATTATGGATATTTAATTGGTATTTTTGATGACAATTTCATGATTAGAAAGTGTCAGGGGAACTCTAGTATCATAAATCCCTGATTTAGGAGCTTATGGGGTTACACTTGGGATTTCTGCTCCTCCTCAGTGGAAGGCAAGGCTTGTTTGCCCCATGCTGGACAGGAGCAAGCTGACAGATGGTTCATAAAGGGCAATTTCTAGAGGGTATAGATTAGAGAATTAGGGCCTGAGCAACCTGCTGGAGGAGGAAAGAATCTGGAAGGGCACCAAGATGTGCAGCAATGCGAATAGCAGCTGCAGTTACAGCAGCTTTTTAAACAATTGTTTTAATTACAAATAAGTTCGGAATACACATTTGGTGTCCTTTCTAATTACTCACCATGAAGTACAAGACACATTGTGGCAAAGGTCAAGCTAAAGACACTCAGAGCATGAAAAGTACTGTTACTAGCATAGAAACAAAGCAGAATGAAGAAACAGAAGAAGACAGCATAGAGCTTTACTTCCAGACAAAAAAAAAAAATCCCATACAGGCATGGAAGTGTGTTCTGAGAGCTGCCTAAGGGAATAAAGATGAAAAAAAATGAGGACAAATCTGTTGGTACTGCCTTACTGGAGAAAAAAAAAGAGACGTGATACCACCTCCAGGAATAATGCCTGAAGCACTGGCACACTCATACATGTCTGATGAATACTAAAGCCCAGAAAGATTGAGCCTGTAAAGAAATAAGAGCCAGAAGTAGAAGGAGAATTAGATCCATTAAAAAAAACAAAAACACTCAAACAGGCTAAGGGAATTCAGAAGGCAAACCAGAGTCAGACCTAAGAAGGTGATGCACTGTATTACACAGAACATTAATCAGAGGGAACAATGGCCATTCTTTTGGAATATTCCAAAAAGCTTGTGCAACTGAGCTTGCCTTAACTCAGTGCTGCCTCTGCCCTGGGATGGAAAGGCAGCAACAGGACCTGAACACCCACAATAAAAGAGGAGCCCCTGCAGTGTGCCTGTGGCTGATTCAAACTCTGCTCACACGCTGCAGATGACACCAGGTGACACAAGAACCGGGAGTCTGCAGCTACACTTTTGTATCAGGAGCCAGCTGAACCTTCCCAGTGATTGCGAATCCAACTACCTGTAACCATGGTACCACATCATACAAGTGATCTTTCATGTAAGGAAAACTTGCTATGGTTTTTAACCTGTGTTTGTATCATTCCAATGCCACATGAGGGTTTTTTCCACTTTTTAAGTTTATTTTCTTAAGTAGCAAATCGTACACAGTGACCTTTAAAGAATGCTATTAAAACTATAAAGTCTAGCATTCCAGAGAATGAAAAAGTTACAGTCACCTCTGAGACAAATTTCAGGAGGTTCAGAAGTTTGTAAGCAAACACGATAATTTTAAATTTTATACACAGAAAAGATGTTCATTACTTCTCACGTAAGGAATGTTTCTTGGGAAGCCAAAAGTTACCTTTTGGCCATATTTGACATAACTTTTCACATGGTACAAACATCAGAACTCATGTCTAGGTCCAAGATGCATCATCAGGATACAGCTGCTGACATTATGTCTGTGTGAAAAGGTGCATGTTACCAAAGGATGAATATTTGTAATAAATGCAAAGAACAAGGGAGTAGGCTTAACTGAAAGAAGCTGAGTCACAGGTTCAGACCTTCTGTAACATGTTTTCTGCCAACTCCATATGGGAGCAAAAAGGTAATGAGGTGCTATCTGAGTTGAGGCACGTGAAATCAACTCATCAGTTTACCAAACGGCATGAATACATGATTGGAGAGATCCTTTAGTATTAGTATTATCCTTGTAATATCCTTTAGAATTACTGACACACTGTGACCACATCTGGGAATGATCAGAGACCTAAGTGGAAGAATTTGAAGGGGCAAGAAAAAAGCTTCTTTACCAAACGGCATGAATACATGATTGGAGAGATCCTTTAGTATTATCCTTGTATATCCTTTAGAATTACTGACACATTGTGACCACATCTGGGAATGATCAAGAGACCTAAGTGGCAGCATTTGAAGGGGCAAGAAAAAAGCTTCATTTAGCTTTCTGGAAGAAGAAGACAAACAGTGCAACTTACAAGCAGGCACCAACAGACATTGACAACTATAGCACTTCTCAGCAGGTTCACAACAGGCTGACACAGGAGAAGGGTTCAGGCACAACAGGAGCTGGTGGCTATGGTATTCTGAAGGGAGTAAGTACCATCTAATAACAGGTGATTATTTTTGTCAAGGAACTCAGTGATGCTTTAAAACAGCAAACGTGATGCTATTGAAATTCCAACATCAATACATGGAAATGTGCTCCTGTCTGAAAAAGTCATTACTGGTGACAAGTACATGGAGCAGGAAATAGCTTCCATGGTTCAGGGCAGATTCTGCATCTTCACTAATGGAAGGCATCAGGCAATTGAACAAAGCAGTGACAAGATGAGATAGTGGAAATAAAAGAATCATACCAAGTGGTTCAATACACTGAAATAAAAATTTGATGATGCATCAGGTCTGAGGGATGTATGCACTACAGGCAAAGCTATAGCAAGGCTCCATGAAAAAAAAAAAAAAAAAAAATCTACCTTTAGATCCCACTCCCTCCCTTGCCAAAGGTGGTCCCTCTCCCGAGCCGTCCCCTCCACTCTCCAAGGCAGCCCTGTGGCCACCAAGACCTGATGACACCCTCGGATCACAGCTCGCCATGCCCTGCTCTCTTAGAGCGCAGGATTTCACGGAATTCTTGGAAGGCGGCTGAGAGGAACGGCTGCTGTTTCACCCGCAGGAGCCAAAGGCGTTTTCCAGCACCGGCTCACGACGGAGCCACGGCGAACTCGCGTGACAAGGCAACGGCCAGACCGGCTGCCATCGCCCCTCTGCCATGCCAACCCGGGCTGGGGCGGGCTCTCCAAGGAGGCCGAGCGAGCTCAGTGCGTGACCAAACCCCGGCGCGCTCACAGCAGCGGCAGCGCTCCGAGGCGCCGGACCGGCGGTACCGGGCAGGGCCGGAGGCGCTCCCGCCCCGCGGAACTTGCGCACAGGCCGCCGCCCCCCTTCCGGCAGCCGCGGCGGCCGGGCCCGCGCAGGAGGCGGGGTGAGATGGCGGCTGCCGTGCCCGGCGCCTCCCGGGCCCGCGCCGCTGCCGCGCTGCTGCTGCTGCTGGGCTGCTGCGGCGCAGCGCTGCCCGGCGGCCTCCAGGTACGGGGCTGGGGAGCCGCGGTCCATGAAGAGAGCGAGCGAGAGAGCGAGCGAGAGAGCGGGCGGGCGGCGCCTGGGGCTCGGTGCTGCCGGCGTCCCCATCGCCTCCCCTCGGCGGGCAGGGAGCGCGCCCGTGGGCTGCCCGCGGAGCCGTCCGGAGGCGCTGGCGGCACGCAGGAGGGGCCCTGTCGGTACGACGGGCACCGAAACTGAGCCGCGGTTCCCAGCGCTGCCTCCCGGCGGGCGGAGCCTCCCGGCGCTGCCCCGTGGGCGGACCCGCGGCTCTCTGCGTACTGAGAGCGCCGGTGCCTTGTTCAAACTGCTGAAAGTTACAAACCCCCAGACTTTTCATCCTCTTGTGAGTTTCTGAAATTCAGTTTCTCCTTGTCCCGCACTGTAACTTGTGGCGAGTGTCTGATGCCCCTTGCCGGACCCCGCTCCCAGCGCTCCCCGGCCCGGTGCCCGTCCCGCAGGTGCGGGGCGCTTGCCCACGGCAGGTGCCGGTGGGTTTGTCAGGTGGGAGTAATTTCATGTCTCAGCAATTAGCTTAATGCACTGTGCCCACGCTACATCTGGAGTGTTGTTTGCTTTTGAATTCTGCGTTATTAACAAGTTGTTATGCTTGAAATTAATTACGACTAGGACCAAACAACCCCCGCACCCCGAACAATAGAAATATTACAATCTCTGGATGAGTAATTAAACTGCAAGTTGTTTGCAGCTCGAAGTACAACACTATTTCTGTTACCGTGTGTTTTGTTCAAGGCCACAAGCATCATCCTAGAACTCATCAGCGTTAATAGAGTCTGATTTAAGAGTCAGCAGATTTGGGTTGTTGCCCCGAGACAAATTCCCTTACCTCTGTGAAGTCTTAGCCCTCTCTTGTGTCCTGATTTATGCTCTCTATTGAGGAGAAAGGGCCCTCTTACCTGCAAAGGAAAGTGGGAACTCTGGAGACCACATTATACAGAAGGTTGCTGTCATCGATCCTGATTTTGGAAGATAAATGTAACCACCTTGGATTTAAAGTGGGTTCAAACTGCAGATTCTCTTACCTGCTTTTGAAAATTGAATTGAATCCTAGCCTCTTTTCTCATTAAGGATGAAACTGTAGGTCAATAAATCACATTATTTTGTTCTTGGCGTGTCCTTTGGAGTAGAGGTGTGTGGGCTTTTTAAACTAAGGTGCAAGTGACTAATAATTCTTTCTTCTGTAGCAAGTTTCAGGCAAAGATTTGGAGCAGTTAATTGACATGAAATGTACAAATGTTAAGAAAAACACCTCTCTTCTAGCTTTTCTAAGGTCTATTCAGTATCAATGTATGGTAAACCTGTGCATTGAACACTGTTGTGGAAATAACAAAACTATGAGTGGTCATTTCTTTCTTATTGCTGAAAAATATAATTTTTTTTCACCTTTCAGGATCAAGCAGAGCAGTTTTTTAGAAGTGGACATACAAATAACTGGGCAGTTTTGGTAAGCACAGTCCAGGTTGTTTTCCTCCAATAATGTTGACAGTTTTTTGCTGCAGGAGCTGCAATTGCAACAGTCATTCAAGAGTCATGCTCATTTGAAAGAAATGGAAAGATAAACATTTGGAAATTAATAAATTTCAAATTGTGCCTGCAAATTTATTACACTATAATGAAATTATCTTTTCAATATGACCAAATTTCAAGCACTCAATGTATCTAGCTATGTGGCAGAATTCATAAAACAAAAGTTCCAAAAGCATTAAAATAGTTAAATTAGTATACTGCATATTGAAAAAAAGGTGTAATTCTGATACCAGGGAAGTCTGGTCTCCTTCACCAGAAAGGCAGAATTTATATCTCATTTTTGTTCTTAGTCAATCTGTTACCTTGTGATAACAGACTGGGAATAAAATCAGCTGAGGCAAGACAGTGTTTAGATTGACTGTACCCTAATTCTTTTTTTCTTTGCCATGTAAGTTTTATTAGCTTTGAATCATGCTGCGCAATTGGTTCTTAATCACAATTCAGGTCTTAATGACTAATTTGTTTCAGAACACTATTGTAATTACTCAGTAGCAGCTGTTTGTTTTCCAGATACTAAAATTTAGCAATATAAAAGGAAAGTTAACAGTAACTAATTGAAGGAATAATTTCTATATTCTACAATGTACAAACTTGAAACTATTAAAACATAACATACAATTTTAATACCATTAACAAATAGATGCTTTTATTAGTACCTATAAAAACACATAAAGAAGGTGGAAAATTAGGTCCAAGAACCTATACTGTCTGTGCTGAACAGATTTTCTGCTGGTTTTATTTTCTCAGTGGTTCGTCATTGAGTTTTGTAACAGTTGCTGCTAATTTTTTAAGCAGCAAACCAGAGAGAGGTTACTGCTGTCAGGCACTTCAAACCTGGGATCAAACTGCAATCCCACCTCATCAATAGCTTGAATTAATGTGCTGCAGTGTGGATAACTGTATTTAAAGCTTAGGCACTTTCCACTGTGCTCTAAGGGAGGTACTGGAGACAGGGCAGGTGATAGTACCTTAAAATATCTCAGCTTAATTGGGCACAGTTTTCAGAGCATTAAGTCTTGCTGAAAGGCAAATGTCCTCATGGACTGATTCCTGTGGGGTTTTTTGGAATTCCTAACTGACAGGGCGATAGATACAGAAGAGGATCCTTTCAGGCTGAATTTTGTTATTACTTAAGTACAACTCAGTTCTTATTATGAAAAGAATAGAGAGATGCTATGTAGTGTGACTTACAGCTCTACATTTAGAGCTGGAAAATTAAAAAACTATCTAAATGCTTTTTCCTGCATCTCTGTTTTTGGGTTTTAAAGTCACCTCTTCTAGAAGCTTTTGGAATGTCTGAATCAGAACCTGATTGAGGGGGTGTGTAAGTAAAGGGAATGGCTGAGACCTGACCCCTTGCCTGTTAGAACAGTAGAAATTAAACTCTGAGAATTTGTATCCAGATGAATTTATATTTGTATTGGTTAGAGCTCACTTTGCTCTTACTTGGACTGTATAAATGCAAATGTCCTCAGTGCATTTTCCCCTGTGTGTGGCTTCTACGTGAATTAATTCACTTGTGCCTTTGTGAAGAGTGCTTCCGTAATGGGATTGCTGTTGAGATGAGAACTCTTCCTTTGATCTCTCTTCCATTTGATAGGGAGAAAGTAAATGAAAAAATTTTATCCACTTGCTGTTGCAGGATTATTCCCTGAAGTGCCACTTTCTATGTTTAGTAAGGGTTTATGACAATTGTATCTTGAGTCAATATGCTAGGAACGTTTTTTTTTTAACTTTTATTTTCAGAATTTTTTGCTTTGGGACAACTAAGATTTGCATAATTTATATCATGAGTTTCTTGGTGTTACTATATTCTTTCTGAGTTGTTACTATTTTTTAAATATTCCTGTAATCATGTTCTTCTGATGCAACGTATCAGGCCAGTTTGTATCTTTACACTGTTTAATATCTTTTTTTTGTTTCAAGGTGTGTACATCTCGATTCTGGTTTAATTATCGTCACGTGGCAAATACTCTTTCAGTGTACAGAAGTGTCAAGAGGCTGGGAATTCCTGATAGGTGAGGTAATCTTGGTGAATCCAGTTCCTGCAAATGTGCCACTAAAGATCTCATGCTATCTGAATCAGTACGGAAATACATTTTTCGTCCCAGTTTAACTGGATAAAAGTGAAAAAGAATGCAAGCACATCAGCGTGGTGAAAAGTGCAGCAATGTTGTTCCAAAGGAAAAGCAACATAGGAAATAGGGTATAACTATGCAAAGTTTCACTTGCAATTTCAGGAATCTTTTTAATGATCCAAGCTATGGCTGTAATTGTTAAAGAGTGTTGTTCTAATTTCTGTTTGTCTGTTATGTGAAAGTAGAATGTCTGAAATATTTTTTTTCTTATTTTTCACAGTCACATTGTCTTGATGCTGGCAGATGATATGGCATGTAATCCCAGAAATCCCAAACCTGCTACTGTGTTTAGTCATAAAAACATGGAGCTAAATGTCTACGGAGATGATGTGGAAGTGGATTACAGAAGCTATGAGGTAACTGTGCTTTAATTAAAACACTGACTCTTTCTTTTTTAGTGTTAGTTTAAAGATTTGTGCAGCATCTCTGAAGTTTGAGGAAGCCTTTCTGTTCATTTCTTACTGTTTTTGGGCTGGGTTTTTATATCAGCTGATGAGTCTAAAATACATATCCCTCCCCTCCTTGATATTTGAGTTTGTATTTGAAGTTCATTATACTAGAAACATGCTTAATATATCTATCTTAAGTAATGGAATACAATCACATTACTGAAATTTCTCTGGAAATGACTGCTCAGTGTCTCATCTTGGCAACACAAAAATTACTATGAAAATTTTGGTGTGCAAGTGAATTGTTTATTAGGTAGATGTACTTAAATTCCTAATCTTAAGCATATGCTCCTAAAATAAAACAAAAGCCATAACTTAATCACAAAGCAATTACTGCAAAGCAATTAGTGTATACAAATCTGCATTCTGTCACCTTTCTTTTCATGTAATATTCCTTCATACCAGGCAGTGTCTTTACCAGTTGAGACAAAATTACACATCAGTTTCTTGGTTTAATAGTGCTGTAGAATTATTGCTAAAGGTTTATTGGATTGTATTGAAGTACATAGTAGATGTTTTATTTCTCTGAAGCTTTATACAAAGAAGTGAAGACAGAGAACTGGAATAGAGCTACATTCTTTTTTTCATGTTTTTTCCTGGGATTTGCTGCTGGCGTTTGAGCTGTGCACATGTACTTAAAAAGGAAGGGGTGTTTTGTAGGATGTCTTGCACTCAGATAGGTCTTATTTGATCACTCAGACTTATGTAACCGAATTGATCTTTTTTTTTCTTTCCTGAGTTGCAGAGGGAATTTAAACTTTTGTTTTTCCATGGTAACAGACACTAATGTTGGAGCATTTTGTGAGTACAGGAGCAGCTTCGGCACAATGAAGCTATATACTGACAAGTTTTTAGATCAGTGTAAATGTATTTAAAAATTATAATGGTGGTAGATTTATTTGCTATAATTAAGCAACAGGCTGATGTTAATGGAGTATAGTAAAAAGTACCACATGATTCTTAACCTGAAGTAAAACCTTACGCAGAGAATGTTTATGCAGTTTATACCACACCATACTATGTCTGGTTAGATACACTGCATATTTTAGTGTTCCATTATTTAGTTTCTGTAACCCAGCCTATAGCTGATCAATATTTTTATCTTTAGAAGATTACTTTATGCTTCTCTTCATAGGTTACTGTTGAAAATTTCTTGCGTGTTTTAACGGGAAGAATCCCACCAAGCACACCACGATCTAAACGTCTTCTTTCTGATGACAGAAGCAATATTTTAATATATATGACAGGTAATTGCAGGTTTCTATGTGCTGTGTGTTGATACTTGCTCAGTTGAATGGGTTTGTTGAAAGCATCAGTAGTCCAAATGCACAAAAGGATCGACAGAATTTTTTTTTTTTCCTGGTTTCAGCATGTCATTCTAATTAAGAAAAAATGCCTGTAAAGAAGTACTAAGCCAGTATAATTTCCAGTTGAAATGGTCTATGTGTATTGTTTCTACTCTACCAATATTTTATTTTGTTGGACTGTCTATGCAGAAAGAGGATTGTGTTTATCTTGTTTTATAAAAATAATCAACAAGGCTGTATATCTTCCTTTAACCTACATAACATCCTTGCCTAACTTCTGATTTTTCTGTCAGGCCATGGTGGAAATGGTTTCCTAAAATTTCAAGATTCTGAAGAAATCACAAATGTAGAACTTGCTGATGCCTTTGAACAAATGTGGCAGAAAAGGAGGTGAGAAAGAAGCATTATGTAGACATTGAATATTGAATATCCTGAACACACTCTTTAAGTGTGTCTTACTGGCAGGCTTTGCTTACCTGCAGCAGTGATACTGTCGATTGTCAATAAAATTGTGCATTCAGAAAGCAGTGTTTTAGTTTTTGCTTGCAGCTTCCTGCAGTTAGAGCTGCTCAAAGGTATTGCTTTGAGCAAACTCACATCCTAAAATTGATCAGGCTGAGCTCCTGTTACTTAGGTTCTGAGCAGCTGCCCTGGTAACTAAAAAACAAAGTATGTATATGGTGTTTAAGTAGAAATGGGTAAGGAGGCTGTTTTCTTTCTTTCAGGTACAATGAATTGTTGTTTATTATTGATACTTGTCAAGGAGCATCCATGTATGAACGATTTTATTCACCCAATATAATGGCCTTGGCTAGCAGCCAAGTAGGAGAAGATTCTTTATCAGTAAGTAGATTTATGTGATCCTGAAGACAGTTTTCAGAATGCCTGAATTAAAAGCACAATTCCTGCTGACTTTTAACTAAAGATTTCCCTTATTCTAATTGTTGAATGGATAAGGTATTTTGTAGGGGTTTGACAAAACTTGTAAGTGTACTGTTCCTGCTTGCTTTTGTGTGCTGTCCCAAAGAACCAGCCTAATGATGGATTTCTGTGCTTGCTGGCCAGTTTATGCATTGCCTAGGAATAGCAAGGAATCTTATGGGAAGGCTGCTGAGAGATGGGTGTGAGGAATAGTCAATCTAGGACTTACTATGCTTGATATAAAACAAAACAAAATGCTAACTTTCACCTGCTGTAATTATACCCCAGCTGAATTACAGAAGGAGCCATAGGAGTGATCCCAGCCAGAGCAAAAGCAGCTGGTCAGGATTACCTGAACCCGTGCACTGCTGTAAGATACACTGGCTCTCCCAGCCCCGTTTTCAAAGTCCACAGATTCATGATGGACCATTAAGAAGGAGTTCCCTGCCTTTTGGGAAACAGATATTACCAGGACACAGTTTATAGATAAGCTGCATTGTTCAGCCTATCAACAGGAGGTTTTTTCCCAGCTAGCCATTTTCTTTGCATATTTTGCCTAAGAACAAAAAAAAATTATGCTTAACTTTTGCAGTATGCTGTTACATTCTGTTCCTTGTCCTGAATGCTGGGTTCTCTCCTGCAAATGCCCAATAACTGTTGTGTGTTGTTTTTAAAGCATCAACCTGACCTGGGGATTGGTGTTCATCTCATGGACAGATACACCTTCTATGTGTTAGAGTTCTTGGAAGAAATCCATCCTGCCAGTCAGACAAATATGAATGACCTAGTAAGTAGAATACTCAACATTCATGAATATGCTAATGACTTTAATAGTTCCAAAACTAATCTATTTTGTCTGTAGGGTTCTTCAAATGCTTTTTATGCTCCTGCTGTTTCTCTCGGAAGCAGCTTTGGAGGGAGGGATTTTTTTTGCCATTGTTAAAGGTAGTTGTGTAACACTTCAAGGATTGTCCTCATTTGAAAGTGCTTTGCTAGCTCCAGAAAAGAATAACCAAAATTAGCCAGATTTTGTATTTTTGCTGAAAAGAATAATAAAGTATTCATTAAATATTCATACCAATAGAATGAAGCATTTGCATGTGAACTATTTTAGCAGGAAGCTTCTAAAACCAGGATAACAGACACTGCAGATGTGGAAAAGCAGGCATTGATGTTGTTTTGCAAAGGTGATTAAACAGTTAAAATTCTAACAAGTCCAATCACAAATGCTTGCAAAGACTAATTTATCTGTATATCTGCTTAGATTCCAGAGCAAGATAGATACAAATCCATCAGTGTTTGGACTTAGTTATAGCTGAGGCAAACATTATTGTAGATTTCAGGTATGAAGCAGAAGGAAGAAAATAAGCCAACCAGGTAACATATGACAATTTATGAAAATGCCTCTCTAGCAGTGACATGAATACAGTGGTGAGATGACATAAAAAGTAACCATATTTTATTTTCTCTGTTAACCCTTCATATCTTTTCCTGTGCTAGGTTCATTGTAGTAATGGCTTATACTTTGGTACTTTGTAGCTGTAAATCCTGCTGTGCCACATCAGTAATCTAAAAGCCACCACTTACAGAACATATTGTCATAGATTCATTTCTGTAAAAGGAGCAGCTGCTCAAAAGTTTTATACTACTCTCTGTCTACAGAGGATGGTGTTAGCCTGACTGCTACATGTGTGCTAGAATTCTCTCTAAACAACCCACACTTGGCAGATTTTATGTTGATACAGAATTGATTCAGTGGCTAAGACTCAAGTTTCTTATTTCTATGGGAATGAAATTCTGTCCTGTAATATAATACCTTCTAATTATGGGATACAGCTAACTTTAAAATAAATCTTGATAAAGAAAAATATGCAAGTTCTTTATTGATTAAGTATCTTTGTCTAGCCTGTTCATTCAAATGTCACTGTAAACCAGAAAATTAATTTGTGTTAATAATAAAAGGTAATAAAAAGGAACAGTGCTTTCTGCTGTGTAAGACACTCTCTGGAAAGTGGTATAGGTGGGCTGGCCAGGAGGATGTTAATCTGATTATTGTGAAAAGTGTAGAAATTTGTTAGCTGGCCAAGTAGTTTACTTTTTCAGCTCTTTGTAGAAGATACCTAACTGTACTTTTGCTTATATGCCAAACATTCAGGAGAGCTGAAGGAAGCTATCCATACTGGTAAATTCCTTACATCATGTAAGTCATCTTATCATGCATTGATCTGCTGATTGGTGCTCGGGGAGTGGAAGAGAAGGGACACAAATATGTTGTGATTTGTGACAATCTGTTCAAGGCCAGGTTGGATGGGACTTCAAGGCCTGGTCTAGTGGGAGGTGTCCCTGCCCTTGGCAGGAAAGTGGAACTAGGTGATCTTTAAGGTCTCTTCCACCCCAGACCATTGTGTGATTAGGTACTGAGTTGTAATCTGCACGCATTTCAACAAATGTGACCACTTGACTTTGAGTCGGTGCTTTTCAAGGCTTCATCTAAGAGTTCCAAAATGACATATGGTTAGTCCATGGTAAAGATATAAACCTGGTTTTGTTGCCAGCAGCTGCAGGAGATACTCTGGCACTGGAGGTACTGGAGGTACTCTATCCAACTCTCCAACTCTGATTTTTTAAGTTTAAATTAATGCTTTCCAAGATCAGGGTAACTTATGTTGCTCACTACCTAGCTTTAAAATTAAATGATCTTCAGTTGTTTGATCTTCTGATATGTCTAATTTCTTCTCTTTTTGAAGTACTGTGTATTTGTTACACCACTTCTATCCTGTTACTTCTTTACTTTTCTCTAACCACTCTTGAAACAGCTTCTCTTCACATCACCTAGGATTTGGATATTGCATTCCTGCAAAGAATGATGCATCATTTTTCATAATCCACTCCACCTACTCCCCACCTGCTCCATCTGTGTTGCTAAGGGATAGCATAAAGCTGTGCAAATGACTGACTATAGGTTTGATCACAATTCCCTGAAAATAAAGACTGCATTGAAATGTCGCACATTTGAACTTTTAAAATAAGATTCAAATTAATTTCTAAATTAGCTGTCATTTGTCATAAAATAGCTAAATTGTTGTTAGAAAAGTTAAGATAACAAAGTTGGGGAAGTTCTTTAGCTCTATTTGAAAAAAAAAAAGTTTTAAAATTTTGAAAAAATTAATGTAGGAAAAAGTGTGCTTAACTTAGCCAGTGTTTCCCTTTTCCTTTTTTTTTGTCAGAAGACCTTGGTTATTGATGTTAGTCTGCTGTGGTGCAATTGGTTTGCAGTCCTTTCTCAGAGTGGTAGTAGATGGGTAGGTTTTTAACACTGAAATCTTCTTCTCACTGCCACTTCATATTTTTGTTCAAATTCATATCAGTATTGTGGCAGTAAACTGTTGTGGGACAGGTTAGAATTAGTTGGGTGCAGTATCACTTTCCCACTTTCAGTGCTGATGCAGTTTTTTAGGACATTCATACTCTCAAAACCTTGGCAAGAGACTTAATTGTATAATTGCAGCATAAATTTATGTTTCAAATAGTGGGATTAGAACAAATCCTTTTTATACTTTTTATAGCTTAGTTCAGAGACTTAGTTTTTATGTTTGTGTCCTTAATTGGAGCAAAGCTAGAGAAAATTGATAGCGTTTTGGTGAAAATGAAAACTGCAGAGGCTTTGTGTGTGTGCATTAACAAATGGCTTTTATATGGGAAGCATGATGCTGATGAATCTAGTTCATTTTCACCACAGGGAGGATAGCAAGGTTTGATTTGCCCCACCTTTTCTTTAGCAGCTGTGTGATAGCAGCCAGCAAGAGAGTTGGGAATTGTTAAAATAAGAGCTGAGTGTATATGAGCTTCAGGTAAAGGTGGAAGTGAGCTGAGGTCTCTCTGGACAAGAAGCCTAATGCCATATGCTTACAAGCTTGGGCTAAAAAGGGATAAAAGAGAAATTGGAATAGAGCGGGAGGGAGAAACAGAGAGGTAGAATCTGTCCTCTATGAAGAAAAGCCAGATAGATTGTTTCCTCTCTGGGAAACTTTTTGTAATGTGGGGCTCTGTTGTCAGAAGAGAATGAGCAACAAAAGCCTGTGCATATGGTGTCAGGCTGAGCACAGTATTTCTGCTGGAAGTGACTTGAGACTCACAGGTTTTTGTCAGTTGTAGTCTGGGATAATTCAAGTTGTATTTGCACTGAGCTGATCAGGACCTGTGGTTTTGTCATAAGGATGCAACCTTGTAAGAGCTGACCCATGGTGTAATTTAGGTATGTGAGCTTTAGTTCCTTGGTTGATGGACCTGTTTGTGAAAATCACTTGGAAAATGTATGATTAAGAAGGATGAACACCCATGTGGAGAGTGACATTCTTAGTCCTGTATGTTAAATCTCTTGTGTAGAACGTTCTGTGTGGCTGGAATGTGAAGGACTCACATAACCTGCACTGTTACCAGGTGATCTGTGTTGTGCCAAGTGTGGTAGGACTTCTGCAAAATGGCTTTGTGTCCAACATGCTTTTATATTGCCTTCAGTGTCTGCTGGGTACATAACAAACCTATTACTTAATAGACATCCTGTCTTGTCAGGTGTTCTTAATGCTGCAACAAATCTGTTCCTTCTGCTTTTGTTAGTGCTGGTTTTGTCTTTCAGGTGTTGCAGTTTGTGCAGAATATAGGGGATCTGATATGTAGACAAAATGCATGGATAAAATGAATAATAAGGTTTGTAGGTGTCACAGGATGTTTGTGAATGTAATGTAAATAAAGCATTTTTGGTATTTGAATGTGCTATGCATTAATTTGTAGGCTATAAATTAGAAACAAGACTGTTGTGGTTTTTTTCCCATCAAAATGTAAATTTTTGCTTCTTTATGAAGCCTTCAACGTAACTGCTTATCAAAGCTTGTTTAATTTTGCATGCCTCCCTTTGGTAAATATGAAGAATTTATGCCCACTTGTGACTCCTGGAAGGTTGTAGCAGCATTGCTGCATCTATATTCAGCAATATATTTGTGCATTTATCAGTTAGATGTAATGGATGGTTGGCTTTCACAGGAGCATTTTTAAACTCCAGTGGCATTATTGTAAGGAAAAAGGTTTTCAGAAATGCCTAATCAAGATGTTTATGCATTTTAATGCATTTTTTCAACCATTGTTTTCAGCTGTGGAGCTTGTACTGAAATCATTACAAGTTATATGTATTATTTTTCTTTCTTTTTAAGTGTCGTTTAATTCTGGAAGGTGTTTGTAAAGAGTGTTGAATGAAGGACAGGATGTGATTGTCCGTCTTGGTTTCCAGTTTCAGGTCTGTCCAAAAAGCTTGTGTGTTTCCACGCCTGGGCACCGAACGGACCTGTTCCAGCGGGACCCTCAGAACGTTCTGATCACAGACTTCTTCGGCAGCGTCAGGAAGGTGGAGATCACCGCAGAGACGCTCTCCTTGGACCGGGACGTGGCTGGCTTGGAAAGCAAGTAAGTGGTCATTATTTAGACCTGAGTTGTATAGCTTTATGCACAAAAACAAAACAGTTGTTTAACTGTTGAGGAAAAAGAACTCTGACTTCCTGTCGTTTTTTACAAGGAATCAGGGAGTTAATGTGGACCTCCTACTGTCATGAAGTTGTCACCTGAAAACTTTGTTTAGAAGTGCCCACTCCTTTTCTAACCTTTGTAAATTAAGTGCTGCTTAAGACCAAGGTGTGGATGTCAACAACAACAGAAGTAGTTTAGAATTTTTTGTCTTCCTTAACATTTATTTAGTGCTCAAATATTTTGTTACTGCAATTCCTGCTTGTGGTAGTTTGGCCCCCCAGATAAGCTCTGAGTATAAGCCATTAGGTTAGTTGTTCAATGGCAATTAGCTTTTTAATAAATGCTTTGTTTCAGTTCTCTGAATTCTCTGGCCTTTGACATTATTCTGTCCTGAGAGTTTCTGTTCCTTAGATGCGGTGATTCATTTGATTAAAATTACTGGTGCACATTCATTGATTGAAGTTGTAACAGGGCTTCCATTACTTTGTGGATGGAGAAAGAAGCATAAACTTCTTTGTATTTTTGGGATTGTGTTGCCACCTATTGGGAAGATGTGCTTGTTCTGTAGGATTTATTTAGCATTGTACTTCCATTTCTGCTGTGTCTTTTGTACTTGATGATACTGCCCTGTAGGAGGGGGAAACAAAGGATTGAAATATTCTGTTGTATCAGGGACTAAATACTTTTCAACACATAAATTTATGTAAATTCTTGTCTGCTTTGTTGTTTACTGTTGCTCAAGCCAGTGGATGGCAGTTTTATTTATTTTAAAGGTAACAGTAACTGGTCCTTGTCATTATTAACATCCTGTAAGGTTTAGTGTATTTCATATTTTACTTTCATACTGTATTTATATTTGGATCATATGCATTAGTACATACCATATAAATCTTAAGCTAGTTTTGTGATTCCTTAGTATAGAACAGTACTTAGTGACACTAAATTTGTTTTTTCACTAAGTACTGTTCTATACTAAGTACGAATAAAAAAGCTCTTGGCAAGTAACAGACATTTTGCTAGTCAAAAACCATGATGAAAACTTACCTATGTGGGTTTCTAATTTGTGGGCAATCAAAAGGAGAAATAGATTTTGAAGGACTTTAGTGTTCTGAAACAGGAAATGAGTGGCTGAAATTTTCAGCTCTTTTTGGCGTGTGTGTTAGTTTGGTGTCAGTAATGGACAGATTTTTGGTGCCTGATGCTACTGCACTGCATACATGGAATCATGTTGAGAAATGGGCACTCATGCACAGAGACGAATATTATCCTTGTGAAGTGTTCTGATATTTAATGAAAGCTGTATTACATTATCCACTTAAGTCTGTGAAATTGGAAAGGGTGGGGACATGCTGGTTTAATATCTGGTTTAATAGTTCTCCTTCATACAATTTTCTAAAAAAAGTACTTAAGTTGTCAGTATCTTGTTATCATTTAGAAAGAGTTTATAGACAGTATGTTTTTAATGGAGGAGGAAGTATGGAATTTGTTTAGAAAGTACTGAAAAATTGTAGTGTAGCTCTAGCAGAGAGTGATGTGGAGTGCTTAATAAATTCCTTAAGCAGAATTCTGAGGTTAGTACTTCTTGTTATGACAGCTCTGTTTAGCTATAACAAATATAAGAATTACAATTTGAAGTGAATTTATTAAATGAAAATGTTAATGCCTTTTAAAAATGCAGTTTTGGAGTGTCTGATCTACAAGAACTAGTTACTCTGGTTTTTTTAAGAATGTTATGAACATTACACACACCTATTTCTGAGGGTGTTGAGAAGGCAGAACACAAATTGCATAATTTTTGAATAGGTGCTATCACTGATTGTCCCAAAATAATGTAAGAATGACTCCTGAATGAATGAATATGAGTGCTTATTCTTAACCCTCTCAGTGTCAGTTAAACCATTCGGTGCCTTTTAGGAGTGTGATGGCTGTTGACACTGAGGTAAAACAGCTGGGGAAGGATGGGGCTATCACAGCCTGGTTTGTTATTTTTTGTTTCATTAGGAGAGAACTAAACCAAAAAAAGTGAAATAATCCTTCCAAAATAGTAATGACTACTCTCGTTCATGCCCAACATTGTTTTAAAAGCCCTGATGAAGCAGTAAAAAGAAATAGAGAATTGAACTTGAGCCCTTAAGAGTTTGTAAGATGTATTGACCAAGAGGTATCTGATAGATCACAAGTATATGCTACTAGTGCATCAGCATTTATATTACATTGGTTACTGAGTGTGAAGATGTTATTGGTTTAATATTTGATGAAGTCTCAAGGCTTCATTCCTTTATGAATCATGTCCTCTGTTTTATTCTTCCCTCAATGTTAGCTTGATACCTTTTTTCTTCCCCTTTTACATACTGGTGGCAGTAGAATGCTACAGAATGTTTGTGTTACAGAGCATAGCCAGAAAATGAAATCCAGGCCTCAACTCTGGCACAGTCTTAAGTAGTCTGTGTTAGATCTGATTTGTTTGTTTTAAAGCTGCAGGTGTCACAGGCGCAGATAAGGACATTAAAAGCCAAATGAACAAAAGGGGTAAACCACTGATTACACAGATTATGGGTAAGGAAGATGCTGTCATGTGAGGCACGAACATCTAGCAGGATTGTACTGCTGGCAGACTGTTCAAGTTCTCATCTTGCCCACTGCTGTGACTTTGCCAAATCTTCTCAATAGAAGTTTGTTCTTTTGTTACACAATTGCTTAGCAATTACTTGGTTGTACAGATCTGCTCCCAGGCCCAGCGTGAGCCATAGCTGTGCAACCAGATCAGAACTGGCAGCTTCACGTGGAGCTCGTGCTGTGACATTTGATGAGTGAGGCCTTTGAAGTTTGCTCTGGCTTGGGCTGAGACTCATACAGAGAACAACTACTAATTAACCAAGAGAAGAGGCTTTCTTTCTATCCACGTAGTGGTAGGTGAATATTTGCGAGTAAAAGCTTTAAAAATAAAGAGAAGGTTCCTCTGCTGTTTCCTTTCTTCATAGCTGTTTCAGTCTAAGCTGTGTTCACTTCAAAGGGCTTGTTCTGCAGCTGCCTCAGTCCTGACAGGATCTGTAGCTGCCAATTTTAGCAGAAAATCTGACAGTCTAGAGGTTCTGAGGCTTCAGATGATTGTGTTTTGTCTAAATCCCCATGCAAGTGCAAAAAGTCAACATTAAGGAGTAGAAGAAATCCTGCTTCTTTGGAGGAGGAACCTTGCAGGTTTTGGAACATCTAATAAATTAGGAGTGTGTGTCTTTTAAACTTGGATTGTAACTCTGCAGCCAGTTGGACACTTTCTCCTTTTCAGTTCTTGTCATGAGGAAAATACTTGTGTCAGCAAAAAGTGTTGATAAAAATTAGGATGAATATTTCCCTTGAGGGTAGTAAGGAGTGAATTAAAGACATCATCATATAAAACCATCCTAATTTTATTTCTTTTGAGAATTAGGTTTTGTATTTAATGCTTCTATTATGAAGAATTGTGATTCTTCACTACTGGCAGTGACTGTTTTCCTAAAAATAAATAAAGTGGTCACTTGTGTTGGGAGGGATGCTTATAACAGGCTAATTATGAGTAATTGGTTCATTTTCAGAATATTACTAGCTAATGTTCTCTCCATCTATTTTGCATGTGTGTGTTGGTATGTCTTTCCTGTCCTTTCTTCTTTTCCTCCATCTATTTTCAATTTGATGTGCTTAATAATTAAAGCTGCTGTTGCATGGTCCTGAAGCCTTGGGGAATCAACTTTATGAACCCATAGGTAATTTGTTTATTTGGCAAGTAGATGCTGCTCATCTCAGAGGGATTTCCTTTAAGAATGACCGGGTTTGTTCCGAGATCCCCGTTCAGTCTGTACCGGGTGCCACAACCGTGTAGTTCTTTCACGTTTCAGAAGTCACTTTCGGGACTGATTCTGCCAGCTCACGGTGCCGGACAGTTCCCGGTTCCTGGCGGGGGTCCCGCTGCTCCCGGCCGGAGACGGCAGGTGGCGCTAGCGCGCCGGAGCGGGAGCGCGGCGGGCGGGGCTGGGACCGGGACAGGGACCGGGGCTAGGACAGGGACCGGGGCTGGGACAGGGACCGGGGCTGGGACCGTGACTGTGACCGGGACAGGGACTGGGACAAGGACTGTAACCGGGACAGAGACCGGGGCTGGGACAGTGACTGTGACCGGGACAGGGACCGGGGCTGGGACAGGGACCGGGACAGGGACCGGGGCTGGGACAGTGACTGTAACCGGGACAGGGACCGGGGCTGGGACAGTGACTGTGACCGGGACAGGGACCGGGGCTGGGACCGGGACAGGGACCGGGACAGGGACCGGGACAGGGACCGGGACAGGGACTGTAACCGGGACAGGGACTGTGACCGGGGCTGGGACAGGGACTGTAACCGGGACAGGGTCTGTAACCACGACCAGGGCTGGGACCGGGACCGGGGGGGCCCCGCCGTGCCTGCCCCATGCCCCGCTCTGCGGGATCCCTTCGGAATCAGGCGGGCGTGGAAACGGAGAGTTCCACTTGGTCTTGTTCGGTGGAAATTCAACGGGATAATGGGAGGGTTTTTATCTTATTTTCCGCTAAGTTTGGATTTTGTAGTCCATGCGCTTTTTAATAGCCTACAAGTAATTAAAGAAGATGGGTGAGCCAGTACTTGCTGTTAAATATTATTGCTGGATTTCCTAAAGTATTTTGAAGTATTTATTCCTGAAATATATTTTATTTATAAAATATATTTTGTTTGCTTGCATAAAGATAGGTCAATATACACACAGATATATACACACACGCTCCTACACCTGCTAGTGTAAAAGAATTTTTCAGGGTAATACAACTGAAATTATTATTATTAAGACTACAGAAGGAAAAATTACATAGGAGGGCACAATGTCACTAGTATAGTGTTGGTATAAAATAAATAAGGATGACTGACAATATCGAAAGGAAGTGCAGGTATAAATT